CATGCTTAGGGGTCATTAGATGTGAACAAAGGCTGGAAGTCAAGCCCATTCCCAGCCACGCCTCTTTGGGAAGACTCAGTTAAGGCCACCAGCAGACAGCATGTCCATTACTGACCCACACAAAGCAGGTAAAGGTGGGAACCTCTGCCCATCTCAGGTGCAGGAAAAAAGAGGCCTTTGCCTCTAACAACTTGAATCCTGACATACAGACCTGGTTCCACCTGCTTGGGGGGGAAACATTTAACATCAGCTCCTACCTGGGCTCCCCGGTTCTGGGGTCTTAGGCTGGGCTAAGGTTTCTGGGAGCCCACATCCTCTAGGGTCCCCACTTCACTGCTTTGTTCCCACCAAGACACTCCTTGTCCCCATCTAAGGTCCAGCAGCTCTTAGTCATGTCTTGGAGGGAGGAGTGGCATCAATGCCCAGCACCTCCCAGGGACTATGGGAAGGCTGAGTGGTGGGTCCTCTCCTCTCAGGACACATGCACTTCTCTCTTTCCCCTTCTCTGCAACCTGGAAAGCAGCCCCTCACCCCATCCTGCTTTTGCCCAACACACTTTTTTTTTTTTTTGAGACAAAGTCTCACTCTGTCGCCAGCCTGGAGTACAGTGGCGCAATCTCGGCTCACTGCAACCTCTGCCTCCCAGATTCAGGCAGTTCTCCTGCTTCAGCCTCCTGAGTAGCTCGGATTACAGGTGACTGCCACCATGTCTGGCTAGTTTTTGTATTTTCAGTAGAGACGGGGTTTCACTGTGTTGGCCAGGCTGGTCTCAAACTCCTGACCTCAAGTGACCTGCCTGTATCAGCCTCCCAAAGTGCTGGGATTACAGGCATAAGCCACCGTGTCCGGCTCCAACACACTTTTTTTTTTTTTTTTTTCCTGTAGAGCAACTTACATGCCTACAGGAGCTGGTTCGATAAAATAAGTTTCCCTTAACTAGGACAGAAGTAGTAGTGTCAATCACACGACACCTGTGAAGGACGGGGGCAGTGAGATGTGACTGCCCCACCTGCAGAGCCAGCCGCTACTTAGATCTGGCATATTGTTGTCTTGAAGGAAAGCAAGACCCCCTGTTTCCAGATCTTTCGTTGTTGTTATTGTTCAAGTTTAGGATTACTGACGCATATGCAGTAAAATTTATCCATTTTACTGCTCCATTAATTTTAAACAAATGTGTATTGTGTAACCACCACCACAGTCATGATATAGAATGTTAGAGTGATTGATTGATTGAGATGGAGTCTCACTCTGTCACCCAGGCTGGAATGCAGCAGCACGATCTTGGTTCACAGTAACCTCCACCTCCCAGGTTCAAGCAATACTTGTGCCTCAGCCACCCCAGTAGCTGGGACTATAGGCGTGCGCCACCACCAGCTAATTTTTCTATTTTTAGTAGAGATGGGGTTTTGCCATGTTGGCCAGGCTGGTCTCAAACTCCCGACCTCAAGTGATCCACCTGCCTTGGCCTCCCAAAGCTACTTATTTCTGAAACAGGGTCTCACTTTGTTGCCCAGGCTGGAGTGCAGTGGTGTGATCATAGCTCACTGCAGCCTCCCATTCCTGGGCTCAGGTGATCCTGCCAGAAGCCTCCTGAGTAGCTGGGACTGCTGGTGTGTGCCCCCCACACCCAGCTAATGTTTTATTTTAGTAGAGATGGGTCTCTCACTCACTGCATTGCCCAGGCTGGTCTTGAACTCCTGGCCTGAAGCAATCCTGCTTGTTTCCCAAAGGGCTAGGATGACAAGTATGAGCTGCCATGACGGGCCTTCAAAGTTTTTTGAAAAAGAAGCTGGGAATCCGGATTTTTATGTGACATTTATTAAAACGTTGGCAACTCATTTTTTAAAAAGTAGTGACGGGGTCAAAGGGGACATGATAGCAGGTTGGACACCGCTTGTGGGATCCCAGATTGCAACCCATGAGCTTTAGGAAAGTAGAATCCAAAATATCAGCCGGGCGCGGATGCTCATGCCTGTAATACCAGCACTTAGGGAGGCCAAGATGGATGGATCACTT